CAGAGCGAGAACGCCCCTGGCCTGTGGGCCCACCTTCTTCCGCTGCTGTCGTGCCTGTTGCGCGACGTTTTCTGCCTGCCGCGCGCCCGGCGCGTGCGGCGTTTTTTCTTCGCGCTCGGGGCGCACGGCAGTTTTCTGTCCGCCACGCGCTCGGGGCTCGTGGCGGTTTTCTGCCCGCCGCGCGCCTCGGGAGCGCGCGGCGGTTTTGTCGCCCGTCGCGGCACCCCAGGAGCTCGCGCGCCGTCTCCCCTCTCGTCGCCCGTCGCGGCGCCCCGGGGGCCCGCGCGCTGTCCCCTCCTGTCGCGGCGTCCCGGGGGCCCGCGCGCCGTCCCCTCCTATCGCCCGCCGCGGCGCCCCGGGGGCCTACGCGCCGCCCTGCCCGTCGCCCGTCGCGGCGCCCTGGGGGCCCGCGCGCCGCCCTGCCCGTCGCCCGTTGTAGCGCCCTAGGGACCCGTGCGCCGCCCCGCTTTCGCTCGCACGCCGCCCCAGCTGCTGCCCGCGTATCTGCCCCACGCGGCACGCGCGCCGCCTGCGTTGGGGGTATGGAGGTGGCGAGTGTGTGAGCCGTCCCCTGCTCCTCCTCCTCCTCCGTCTCCCAGTGCTGCAGCTGCCGCTGAGGGGGGGTGGGTGTGTGGGAGCCGAGGGAGTGGCGCTAGGGGGGTGTCGTGGGAGTGGAGCTAGGGGTGCAGCAAGGGGTGTGTGAAAGGGGTGTGGGACAGTTGGGGGAGGTTGAGTGGAGGTAGCCGCCGTAACGTCAGCAGCGCCAGTAGTCCGGATACCCTTGCTTGTGTCCGGTAGCCCAGCGAGCGTGCTGCGCCAGTCGCCCGTAGGTCCGTTGCTCCTGCCGCTCGTCTTAGCTGCGGAGCCAGTTACTCCTGTAGTCCAGGGCCCTTGCTCCGGCAGCCACTGTGCGTGCCGCTCCTGTTGCCCGTGTGTCTGCGGCTTCACCCGTCGCCTCCTATCTCCACTCCTCTCACAGTCCCTCCTCATCCTCTCTTGCCCTCTGTGACTGCCTCTAGCTTTGCTTGTGCTTGTGAACTTCTTATGCGTCTGCTTGCTGTGCTGATCATACCCCACTTTGCCTATGGGGGTGTGTCAGAATGCTATTATTGTCTAGTCTACAGTGGGGTACTTTATAGTGAATACAACTCAAATTAGGGTTTGCTATATGTATCCTATCTGCTGCTAGTGCAACCTCTCTTCCTGTTTCTAACTTTTTGCTAGCGTTTCTCGACATGATGTCCGCTTCGAACTGGTCCAGTAGCTCCGTGTCGTCGCCGGTGTAGAGGAGGTCGTCGACGTAGGCAACAAGGAGGATGAACTTGCCGCGCGACTCCTTCCTGTACATTCCGAGGTCGTGTGGCAGTTCTTTGAATTCGAACTCCGTGAGCACGGTATGCAGGTACTGCTGCCACAGGTGAGGCGCTTGCTTAATCCTGTAAAGGGATTTCTGAAGCAGGTAGATGGCGCCATCGTTTTCTTCGAAGGCATGTGGTTGTTCAACGAAGATGATAGGGTCGACTGGGGCACTGCCAACGTCGATCTGACGGAGTGGGCGCTGCTTGACGGCTGCGATGCAGATGAGGATCCGCACTGAAGTGTGCCGCCTGACAGGTGCGTAGGTGAGATCGAAGTCCATGAGTTTGCTCGAAGCCACGCACCACCCATCGTGCCTTGTATTTGTCGATGGAGCCATCCACGAGTGTTTAATGTGGAAGACCCATTTTCCGCTGAGATTTTTTCTCCCCTTCGCTGATGTTCGGGGAACTAGCTTCCATGTTCCACGGGCCTTGAGTGCCACGACCTCCTTGGCCATGGCTGCCTTCCATTTCTCACTGTCGGGGCCAGAGAGGGCTTGGCGAACGGTGGTGGGCTCCTTGGGGGAGTCGTGGCGAACGGCGACTGCGAGCCCAAGGATGCGGAGACCAGTTTCGTTGGTCTTTTCGTACTCAGGCGATCGTAGTAGTGAAAGCTGGTTACTTCGACTACGTCGTCGTCACTGTCGTTGCCGAGGCGGAGGGAGTCTTGCGAGGCGTTTTGTGGTGGTAACTCGGCATCCAGGGATTGGCGGGCGTCTCTGTCAAAGTTGTAAGCTTCCCGAGTTGTATCGTCAGGATCGAAGTGGTGTACATGTATGAAGGTTGGAGTTTGGAGCGGACTTGTAAGGGGGATGTTGGGTGCGCTGTCAAACTGGGTAACATTTGATGCATCCACATCTTCTTCCAGGTCAGCTTCGTCGTGTGAAGTTGTGAAGCTGCGGTGTCTCTCGAAGACCCGTTCTGGTGCATGGGGGATGTTGGGTGCCCTGTCAGCTTCTCGATGTTCGTTCAACAGTGGTAGAGTCAGCTTCTCGTAGAAGATGCAGTCACGTGATTTCATCACTTCGTGTGTCGCGTGGTCCAGCACGATCTACGCCTTGTATTCTGTTTCGATTCCGAGGTTAGCAAACTTTCCGGTCCTTGCCGTGTGTGGCCTGTACTATACCATGCACCCGAACACCCGAAGTAGATGTGTGTCTACTTTTCTGCCCGTCCAGGCCCTGTAGGGAGAGTTGTTGTTCTCGAGGCTTCGAGAGGATAGCAAGTTGTGCAGCCGGACTACATGGTTCATCGCGAACGGCCAGTACCTGGTTGGGATGGCTGACTGCTTCATCACGGCCCTCATCCTGGTGGGGAGGCTCCTGTTTGTCCGTTCTGCTACTCCTTGTTGCTCGTGAGCGTAGGGCAAGGACACCAGGTGTTCAATCCTTTTCTGTTTGAAGAGCTCCTTGAACTCGTCTGAGAAGAACTCCAGGGCTCCGTCTGTCTGGTAACCTTTCAGCTTCAATCCTGATTGTCGTTCGGCCTGTTTCATCCATGCGATGAAGGTAAGGGAGCGACAATCGGTGTTCTCGGCCCAGACATAGCGCGTGCTTGTGTCGATGAAGGTAAGGGTGTAGATCTCACCGTTGAGCCCTCCCTGGTTTAGATTCATGAAGTCGCTGTAAACTTTGTCGAGTGGCTTGTGGCGTTCGTAGCCGGGCGGTAGGTCGGGAAAGGGCTTGTGGGCGAGAAACGCAGCGGGGCACACTGTGCATGGCGGGTCTACTGTAAGGGAGCCTCCGCGGAGAAGGAGTAGCGCTCCGTCGTCGAAGACACCAGCTCAGAGGGAATTCTTGAGAGTTACGTGCGAGGGGTGGCCAAGCCGTCGATGCCAGGTTTCCGGTTCCGCGCTGTAGCCAACTGTCTTCTGATAATATTTGTTTCTTGCTGCTACTTTGTTCGGCTCCTTTCCAGGTCCTGCATCGGAAGCGTCGTCGGTTTCGGCGGCGAAGGCTTGAATGGACTTCCGTTCCAAAAGTGCGTGAAGATTTCCGATGATATCATCGGTGTCGCCGGCATCGACTTGGTCGCCGATGACGAGCAAGCACTGATTGGGCCGGTCGCGGACTGGAAGTCCCTTCATGGGAATATGGAAGTAATTGTACTCGGTGCCGATGACCTCAATCTCCTGTGGTCCTTGTTTTGGCAGCTCCGGCTCCTCGGTAGGTTCTGGTAGTTCTGCTGCTCCTCCGAAGAATTCATAGGTCACTTCTTCCTCTGATTCTTCTTCCATTGGTTCTGGTGTATCAGGAGCGTACTGATCCGGGAGAGGAGGTCCGCCCCAGCTGGTGCCACGTGTTTGCCAGTATGGGTCGACCGCCGCGGTGTCCGCACGAGGGAGACCCGGGGCTTCCGGGTAGGCAGGGGCTGCTGGCCCCCACCCTCCTTCGCTCGTTGAAGTTCCCCAGCCGCCTTTAGTTCCCCAGCCGCCTCCAGTTGCGACGACTTCCTCCGTTGGAGCGTTGGCGCCGCTTTCCGATGCCGAAATAGTGCCCCTTTCTTCTGCAATTGCTTCTTCTAGCGTCAGGACTTCTCCCAAGGGGCCGAGTGCAGGGCCAGGACTACCTGATCTTGTCTCAGTCTTCTCCTTCTCTTCAGTGACCGGTTCCGTAGGTACTGATGTGCCACTGCCCTCTTCCATTGATGCAGGTCCAGTCTCAGCCGGGTTGGAGGTCGAGGCAGTCAGGACGGTGCGAAGTCGCAGAAGACCGTCCGAAGCAGGTCGCTCGAGATCCATTTCCGTGGGATGCGACCATGTCGGTGTCTTCGAGGGAGTTGTTTTCAGCAACAGAGTGCGGTGAGAATCTCCAGTGGTGCCCTGAGCTGAGAAATGGAGTACGAAGACCCCGTCATCGTCGACCGCTTTGCCGATGTAAGAGTTCTTATAGAAGAGCTCGAAAGCCTTGTCCTTGCAGTTACTGCGAATGTCGACTCCGCACCGCATGAGTTGTGCCGATGAGAGCAGGTTGTAACGCAGATCTGGGGCTACAAGCACGTCACCGATGTGAATGGTGAACTTCGTGTCATCGGCTTCAAGGTAAACTTTGCCGATGTCATATGCCTTGAGTGTGCTGTTGTTTGCAACTGTGATTTCGCACGGTCATCGCATGCGTTTTGAGTTGCTAATGAACGTTGGTGATCCTAGCATGTGCTGCCCGTAGCAACTGTCTAGGTACCAGGTGTTGATGTTCTTGCGGCTTTGTCGCGCGATGTTGGCAATCTTCGGCGTAACCACGCGGTCTCTTTCGCCAGTGTATGGCAAGAGAGCAAAGTACTTGTTCGCCGAAATGTTGGGAGGTAACTCTAGTTCTCAATATGCTATCAAAGCTTAATGCTCCTGGCCTGTGGGCCCACTTGCTTCCGCTGCCCTACTGTGTGTCGCGCGCCCCGTGGCGAGCGAAATCCTATTCTTCTTCCCGCCACGCGCTCGGAACGCGTGGCGGTTTTCTGCCCATCGTGCGCCCCGAGGCGTGCGGCGGGTTCCTACCTTATCACGGCGTCTTGGGGGCCCGCGCACTGGCCCCGACCGTCGCCTCGTCGCGGCGTTTTGGGGGCCCGCACGCAAGCCCCTCCCGTCGCCTTGTCGTGGCACTTTCAGGGCCCGCGAGCCGGCCCCTCCCGTTGCCTCGTCGCGGCGCCTTAGGGGCCTGCGCGCGGTCCCCTCCCGTCGCCTGTCGAGGCACTTTCAGGGGCCTGCGCAGCTCCCTAGTACGTCGCCCGTCAGGGCACCCTGGGGGCCGCGCCCTTCCCCTCCCCTCCCTCCTACTTTCCGCTGTAGCAGCAGCCCCTGGAGAAGCCGCCCCAGCAGCAGCAGCCCCTGGAGCAGCCGCCCCAGCAGCAGCAGCCCCTGGAGCAGCTGCCCCAGCAACAGCAGCCCCTGGAGCAGCCGCCCCAGCAGCAGCAGCCCCTAGAGCAGCCGCCCCAGCAGCAGCAGCCCCTAGAGCAGCCGCCCCAGCAGCAGCAGCCCCTGGAGCAGCCGCCCCAGCAGCAGCAGCCCCTCGAGCAGCCGCCCCAGCAGCAGCAGCCCCTCCAGCAGCCGCCTCAGCAGCAGCAACCTCTGGAGCAGCCGCCCCAGCAGCAGCAGCCCCTGGAGCAGCCGCCCCAGCAGCAGCAGCCCCTGGAGCCGCCACCACTGCAGCAGCCGCCCCAGCAGCAGCAGCCCCTGGAGCAGCCGCCCCAGCAGCAGCAGCCCCTGGAGCAGCCGCCCAAGCAACAACAGCACCTGGAGCAGCCGCCCCAGCAGCAGCAGCCCCTGGAGCAGCCGCCCCAGCAGCAGCAGCCCCTGGAGCAGCCGCCCCAGCAGCAGCACCCCCTGGAGCCGCCGCCACTGCAGCAGCCGCCCCAGCAGCAGCAGCCCCTGGAGCAGCCGCCACTGCAGCAGCAGCCCCTGGAGCAGCCGCCCCAGCAACAGCAGCCCCTGGAGCAGCCGCCCCAGCAGCAGCAGCCCCTGGAGCAGCCGCCCTAGCAGCAGCAGCCCCTGGAGCAGCCGCCCCAGCAGCAGCAGCCCCTGGAGCAGCCGCCCCAGCAGCAGCAGCCCCTGGAGCAGCCGGCCCAGCAGCAGCAGCCCCTGGAGCAGCCGCCCCAGCAGCAGCAGCCCCTGGAGCAGCCGCCCCAGTAGCAGCAGCCCCTCCAGCAGCCGCCCTAGCAGCAGCAGCCCCTGGAGCAGCCACCCCAGCAGCAGCAGCCCCTGGAGCAGCTACCCCAGCAGCAGCAGCCCCTGGAGCAGCCGCCCCAGCAGCAGCCCCTGGAGCAGCCCCTGGAGCAGCCGCCCCAGCAGCAGCAGCCCCTGGAGCAGCCGCCGCTGCAGCAGCCGCCCCTGGCCCCTGTAGCAGCCGCTCCTGGACCCGGTGCAGCCGTGGGGGGGTGGGTGTGGGGCTGATGGTTGTGGGGGTGTTGGTTGTGCGTGCCGTCCCCTCCTCCTACTCCTCCTCCTCCTTCGTCTCCCACTGCTGCAGCTATCGGTGAGGGGGGTGGATGTGTGGGAGTCCAGGGTTTAGGGTTTAAGGGGGTGCTGTGGGTGTAGGGCTAGGGTTTGAGCAGGGGGTGTGTGAGAGAGGCGTTGGGCAGCTGGGGGAGGTTGAGTGGAGGCAGCAGTCTTGTCGTCAGCAGCAGCAGCAGTCCGGAGGCTACAATCTCCGGTAGTCGCCAGTCGCCTGTGGGTCAGTTGCTCCTGCCGCTCATCTAGTTACTAGCCGCGGAGCCAGTTACTCATGTAGTCCGGGCCTTTGCTTCGGTAGCCACTGAGCCAGCAGCTCGTCTGTGTGTCTGCAGCGTCAGCAGTCGCCTCCCATCTTCTCTCCCCCACAGTCTCTCCTCCTCCTCACTTGCCCTCTATGATTAGCTCTAGCCTTACTTGTGAACTCTTGCTCTATGCCTGCATGCTGTACTGATTATACCCCACTTTGACTATGGGGGTGTGTCAGATTATAATGCATGTCTAGTCTGTATTGGGGTACTCAAAAGTGAGTATAACCCTTTTAGGGCTTACTACTTGTATCCCCCTCCTTTCTAGTTACAACCATTCTCCTTCTAAAATATCTCGACATTTTCCATACACCCTTGAACTTCACCACTAAGTCACTTAAACCCAAGGCTCCCAAGCCTACTAAACTCTAGTTCTCAATAACTTGTAGGAGCGAATGCCAAGCTGCTCGGAGGGGGAGAAATTTCACAACAGAGTGGTGTACGCGAGAAGAGATTCGTGGTAATATTGGTTCTTCTCTTGTATGGTGCCTTCCGTTGGAAAAGATAGGCTTCCGTCGTAGTACATCCAGATTTGCACAATTGTTGCGAGGAGCTCAAACTCGAAGCTCCAAGTGTCAGATTTATATGACATAGCTGCTGTAGGCTATAGTGGGGTAGCACATATGGTGTACAGCTTTCTAGGGTTTGTACTTGTACCCAACTTTTCCTTAGTCATATTTTTTTTCCTCTTGATTTCCACATGGTATAGAGCGGGTTCCCTCGTGGGAACGCTTCCTAGGGCCCAGCCAATCGATTTTTTTTTTTCCTGCCCGGAGCGCGCTTCGCTCTTGCCCGAGTCGCGCCCCGCGTGCCCTCCCTACCATCGCGCCCTCTCTAGGCCCCTTACGGCCCCTTCGCGTCGCCCTTAGCGGCCCCTCTGACGGCCCTTCCAGCCGCCCTTACGGCCCCTCGCCCCGCCCTTACGGCCCCTCGCGCCACCGCTACGGCCCCCTACGGCCCGTCGCCGCCCTTCGCGACCCCTCGCGCCGCCCTTCACGGCCCGTCGCCGCCCTCCGCGGCCCCTCGCGCCGCCCTTACGGCCCGTTGCCGCCCTCCACGGACCCTCGAGCCGCTCTTCGTGGCCCCTCGCGCCGCCCTTGCGCCCCCCCCCCCCCCCCCCCCCCTCGCGGCCTCTTCACGGCCAGTCGCCGCCCTCCGCGGCCCCTCGTGCCGCCCTTCACGGCCCGTCTGCCGCCCTTTGCGGCCTCTCTCGGCCTGCCGTCGCCGCCTCTGCAACAGCAGCAGCCGCAGTCGCAACAGCGGCCGCGGCCGCCGTCCCCGCAACAGAAGCAGCCGTCGCTCCTGCAGCAGCACCCGCCGCCACTACAGCCGCGGCCGCCGCCGTCTCTGCAGGAGCGGCCGCCGCCACCCCTTGCAGCAGCGGCCCCCGCCGTCCCTTGACCAGCAGCCGCCGCTGCCCCTGCAGCAGCCGAGCCGCCCGAGCCGCCGAGCCGCCCGAGCCGCTGAGCCGCCCAAGCCGCCGAGCCGCAGTTGCCGCCAAGCCGCCGAGACGCGGGTACTGCCGAGCCGCCGAGTCGCCCGACCCGCCCTGTCCGCTGCACCCTGTCAGTGCGGTCGCGGCCCTGTTCCTGCTGGCAAGCCTCGGTCCTTCTCGCCTGCCCGGTAAGAGCAGCACCTCTGCCACTGCACTGCCCTTAGCCTGCTGCTCGCGCTGCTAGTTTACTGCTGTCATGGCTTCCCCCAGTGTCCTCGCTTTTGACGCTGAGGGTCGGGCCATTGACTTTGACGTCTAGGTAGATTACCTCCAGCTTTTCCTACAGTGCGATAGGGCATATGGTCTCTCCCTCTTTGACCTCACTTTTGGTGCCTCTCCTGCCCCTGCTGCTGATGCTGACGCCACTGTTCGCTCACAATGGGCCACACGCGATGCTGCTGCACGTCTTGCTGAGCGTCGCCACTTGCCTACCTCTGAGCGTGCGCACTTAGCCAGTACAAAAGTGCTAAGACCTAGTACGACGCGGTAGTTGCACGCTACTCTTCCCCTGCCACTGCTGCACTTAGCCGCCTCATCCTGCCGTACCTCTTCCCTGACCTAGCTGCTTTTCCCACAGTCGCTGACCTCATTACTCACCTTCGCACTAGTGACATTTGCTACCGCGCTGCCCTTCCCGCTGAGTTCTGCGCCAAGAACCCCCCCCCTATGTACATCACCCTCTACTACACAGTCACCCGGCTCCCTGACACCCTTCACCCGGTCCGAGGACCACTTCCTCTCTGTTTGCCCCACCACCCTCACCGTTGACCTCCTCGAGGAGCGCCTCCTAGCAACAGAGAAGACCATAGTCGCTGTAGGAGCCTCTCGTGGTGACCCTCGCGCCCGTATCTTTGAGGGGTGCTCCCCCTCTCCTCTCTTGCCCTCTGTTGCCTCTACTGCTGCGGGTGACCTCGTTGGTCTTGAGTCGGTCCGTGCGGCGTCTACCCCTAGCGGGAGACGCCGCCCTCGCAAGGGCAAGGGGGGCAGGGGCGCTGGAGAAGCTAGCGGGGGCGGTGGAGGCGGCGGAGGGGGTGGGGGTGGCGGTGGGAGTGGTGGCGGGGGTGGAGTCGTCGGTGGCGGCAGTGGAGGCAGAGGCGGCGGCGGCGGTGGCGGTGGAAGCGGAGTTGGCGGAGGTGGCGGTGGTGGAGGAGGCGGCGGCGGAGGAGGTGGAGCTGGTCGGGGTGGCGCTGCGCAGAGGGTTGGCTCCGGTGGTGATCAACGCCAGCAGCAGCAGCAGCAGCAGCAGCATCGCACTCGTGACCTCCCCCCCCCCCTCAGCAGCTTCGTGACTAGTACGCTGCACGTCAGCGGGGTGGGGGTACTGGTCCGTGCACCTACGTCCTACGCACCAGCGACCGCGCGGGTGAGCAGTGCGGGGGTGCGCACTCCACTTAGCGCTGCTTTGGCCGCCTGACGGACGCTTGGCGTCACCAGTTCCCTGAGGCCACTGAGATTCCTCGCTGGGGCTTGCTGTCTAGGGCGGGAGTAGCTATCTTTGACCTTGACTTTGATGCTATTCTTGCTGCCATGTATGCTGTGACTATTAGTGATGAGGGTGACTGTTATCGGTGTTTTCCGCCCGACCCGGGCATTGGGACTCCTGCTCTAGGTACTGGTGAGGCTGTTGCTCTAGGTGCTAGCGAGGCTGCTGCTCTAGGTGCTCGTGCGTGTGCTTCGTCAGGTGCTGGTGAGTCTGCTCTCTCAGGTACTGCGTCAGCTTCGGCCTCCCACACCTTCACCCTTGACTCGGGGGCTTCTCGCTCCCTCTTTCGAGACCGCACCACACTCACGCCGCTTGGTCGGCCAGTTGATGTCTCTCTGGCAGACCCCTCTGGGGGTCCTGTCCTTGCTCACTTCTCCACTGTCCTCCCCTCTGGCACCCTGTCTGGTCTTTACCTCCCCTCGTTCTCTACTAACTTGGTGAGTGGTACTGACCTACAGGATGCGGGGGTTCACCAGTTCACTCCTGCGAGCCAGCGGGTGACCCACTGCACGGACGCTCCGACGAGCCGACACTTGGCCACGTTTACACGTCGGCCGGGGTCGAGCCTGTACACACTGACCACTGAGTCTCCTCCAGTCACTCCGTCTGGTCAGGTAGCTGCGTCGGGTCAGGTGTTTGCTGCAGCGTCCAGGTCTGGTCCTGAGTCTGCCCCCTGCTCGTGTCGCCTCCTGTCTCACGAGACTCTCCTCTGGCACCACCGCCTTGGTCACCCCTCCCTGCTTCATCTCCGAGGCATGGCCTCCCGTGTCCTTGTCTCTGGTCTTCCGCGGTCCCTCCCTCCCCTTCCTCCGGGGCCTGCCCCTCCCTGCGTCTCCTGTGTCGAGGGGCGGCAGCGGGCTGCCCCTCACCCCTCCCAGTTTCCTCCGACAGAGGCCCCGCTGCAGATGCTTCACATGGACGTGTAGGGCCCGGCCCGCGTCCGTGGACAGGGTCACGAGGGCTACTTCCTGCTGGTGGTTGACGGCTACTCCCGTTACACCACAGTCTTCCCCTTGCGCAGCAAGGGTAATGTCACTGAGGTATTGATCGACTGGATCCGCGCAGCTCGTCTCTAGCTCAGGAAGAGCTTCAACTCGGACTTTCCTGTTCTGCGTCTGCATCTGACAGAGGCGGAGAGTTCTCCTCAGGCCTTCTGCGAGCCTACTGTCGTGCACGAGGCATCCGCCAGACCTTCACACTTCCGGACTCTCCACAGCAAAATGGGATTGCTGAGCGCCGCATTGGCATGGTCATGGACGTTGCCCGTACGTCCATGATGCATGCGGCTGCCCCCCATTTTCTGTGGCCGTTTGCGGTTCGGTACGCGATGCATCAGATCAACCTTCAGCCCAGGGTCTCCATGCCGGAGACCTCCCCAGCTTTGCTGTGGACGGGAAAGGTTGGCGATGCGTCTGCGTTCCGTGTCTGGGGATCTCGGGCGTTTGTACACGACTTGTCTGCGAACAAGCTGTCCCCTCGTGCTGCTCCCTGCGTCTTCCTTGGCTTCCCCCCTGACGCGCCAGGGTGGCAGTTCTACCACCCCACCTCTTGCCGTGTTCTGTCCTCCCAGGACGTCACGTTTGACGAGTCGGTCCCCCAGTACCGTCTTTTCCCCTACCGTACTCCGTCCCTCCCCCTACCACCGCTCTTCCTTGTGCCAGGTCCCCCCCCGGTAGACCCCCTTCCCCCTCAGGGTCCTGCCCCTTCAGGTGTGTCCCAGGTAGACGCAGTCGAGCCTGTGGCGGTCGCTGGTGGCTCTGGTGCTGCTGGGGGTGCTGAGCCTGGGGTTGCTGAGCCTGGGAGTGCTGAGTCTGAGGGTGCTACGATTGGGGGTGCTGAGCCTGGGGGTGCTGAGTCTCGGGGTGCTGAGCCTGGGGGTGCTACGACTGGGAGTGCTGAGCCTGGGGGTTCTAAGACTGGGGGTGCTACGCCTGGAGGTGCTGCGCCTGGGGGTGCGGAGCCTGAGGAAGCTGGGCCTGCTCGTGTGGCGTGTGGCTGTGCTGGGCGTAGAGGTTGTCCGGGTGCTCCGTCTCGACGGGAGCCACTCTCTTTGCAGGAGGTGCGTGAGTTGTTTGCCCGGCGCTGGAGGCGTGCTGCTGGAGCTGGAGGTTCTTCGGCTGCTGAAGGTGCTGGTGCCACGGGTCCCGGAGGTGCTCGTACTAGGAGTACAAGAGCTGCTGGGCCTGCGGGTACTACTGGAGCTGGAGCCACTGCGTTGTCTCATGGTCCGACTGGAGGTGGAGCTGCTGAGGGTGTTGGCGCTGAGGGTACTGGAGGCGGTCCTGTTGGGGGTGCTACTGGTACTGCTGGAGGTCCTGGAGCTAGTGGAGCTGCTGGGGGTGCTAGAGGTGGCGGTGCTGTTGGTGCTAGTGCTGCCACTGGGGTACTGGTGCTATCCCTGCTATGTCTGGAGTCGCTGCGCGGCCTCGGCCGTACTTCGTTCCGCTCCTTGAGCAGGTTCTTGGTCTCCCGCCCCCTACTTGTCCTCCTCCTCCCTTAGAGTGTCCACAGCCTGTCTCGTCACAGTTACAGTTACAGTCGGCCTCCCCACTGCCTCCTCCTTCTCCCTACACTGGTCCTACTGGAGGTCTTGCTGAGCGTCGTGAGCCTGCGTCTCGCCCTGCGTCGCCTGTCCGTCCTGCTTGCGCTAGTGGTCGTGGTTCGCGTTAGCGTCCTCCTCCTGTCCCTGGCACGCACCGGATGTCTCTGCGTCCGTCCACTGCTCCTCTGCGTGCCCCTTTGCCTTCTCCTCCTGAGTCTTCTCTTCCTGCTCTTGCCGACCCGAAGTCGGACTCTCTTCGTGCTGCCAGTCCTACTGTCACGCGTCTCCTTGCTAGTGTTGTCACTGACCCTTCCTTTGAGTCCACTGCTGCGTCTGCCCTAGTTGTTGAGCTCGTCGACTTTGCTGCTCGCTGTCGCCTAGACTACGCTGCTAGTCTTGTTGCTGAGTCTGAGTCTGTCTGTCCTCCGTCCGTCAAGGGTGAGTGTGCCCTTGGCACGGACGTCCTTGAGGACAGGCAGGAGCAGTTCTAGTGTTTGGCTGCTGCTTCACCTCATCTCGTGTCCGTACTGCTTACCCCTGAGGGAGACCCGGATGCACTTGACATCCCGACTCCGCGCTCTTACGCGGAGGCGATAGAGGGTCCCTACTCCTCTCAGTGGCAGGCAGCTATGGACGTAGAGATGGCTTCCTGGAAGTCCACAGGCACCTACGTTGACGACGTACCCCCTCCTGGGGCGAACATGGTCAGTGGCATGTGGATTTTAAGGGTGAAGCGGCCGCCGGGTTCTCCGCCTGTCTTCAAGGCGCGTTACGTGGCTCGTGGCTTGAGTCAGCGGCAAGGAGTTGACTACTTTCAGACCTTCTCTCCCACCCCAAAGATGACCACTCTTCGGGTACTGCTGCACATAGCTGCTCACCGTGACTACGAGCTGCACTCTCTCGACTTCAGCACTGCTTTCTTGCAGGGCAGCCTGCACGAGGAGATCTGTCTGCGCCGCCCACCTGGCTTCACTGGGTCTTTTCCTCCTGGCACCCAGTGGAGCCTCCGGCGGCCAGTCTACGGTCTCCGCCAGGCACGTGCACGTGAAGTCCGAGCTGCAGAAGAGACACACGTGCACAGACCTGGGTGAACTGCGCAGCTACCTTGGCTTGCAGATCACCCGGGACAGAGCACGCCGCACCATTACCCTGACTCAGTCACAGATGGTGCAGCAGCTCCTTCAGCGCTTCGGCTTCACGTACTCCTCGCCTCAGGCCACTCCTCTGCCTACTCGCCACTCGCTCTCAGCTCTGCCTTCGGATGAGTCCGTAGAGTCGAGTGGCCTGTACCCAGAGCTTGTTGGCTGCCTCATGTACCTGATGATCTGCACACGACCTGACCTTGCATATCCTCTTAGCATTCTAGCACGCTATGTTGCTCCTGGGAGACACAGACCGGAGCACATGGCTGCAGCGAAGAGGGTGTTGCGCTACTTGTGCAGTACGTCGGGCATGGGGCTTCTGCTTGGAGGGCAGAGTCCCGTGGTCCTCACTGGGCACGCGGACGCTTCTTGGGCTGACGACGAGGCTACACAGCAGTCGTCATAGGGTTACACCTTCAGCCTTGGTTCAGGCTCTGTTTCGTGGCGGGCTACTCGCTCGTCTTCTGTTCTCGGCTCCAGTTGTGAGGCTGAGATCTACGCAGGGGTCATGGCTGCACAGGAGCTTCGCTAGCTCACCTACCTGCTGACTGACCTCGGAGAGCCGCCTCGTTCTCCTCAAGTGCTGTACGTAGACAACAAGGCCATGCTGGCCTTGTGTCGGGAGCAGAGACTGGAGCACAGAACGAAGCACATTGATCTCCGCTACTTCCTTGCTCGTGAGCTACAGCAGCGTGGTCAGCTGCGGCTTGCGTACGTGGTCTGTGAGGCCAACATGTCAAATTATAATGTTGTCTAGGCTTTAGTGGGGTAGCCCATATGGGGTACAGATTTCTAGGGTTGCATATTTGTATCACTTTCATTCCATAGTCATTCATTCTCGTTCTAATTTCCTCATGGTATCGAGCAGGTTCCCCTGTGGGAACTGTGCCTAGGGCCCACCACATTGAGTTTTTTTTTTTTTTTTTCCTGCCCGAAGCGCGCTCAGCCCGAGTCGCGCTCCGGGCTCTCACTTCGTCGAGCCGCCCTAGCGGCCCCAACGCCCTAGCGGCTCCGCAGCCCGTCGATTCAGCCCCGCCGCCCTTCTCTTCGGCCCTGCCACCCTTCGCTGCGGCTCCGCCGCCCTTCGCTGCGGCCTCGCAGCCCTTCACTGCGGCCCCGCCGCCCTTCACTGCGGCCCCGCCGCCTGTCTCAGCGGCCCCGCCGCCCTTTGCTGTGGCCCCGCCGCCTCTCTCGCTGCGGCCCCGCCGCCCTTCTCAGCGGCCCCGCCGCCGCTCGTTGCGGCCCCGCCGCCTGTCTCAGCGGCCCCGCCGCCCTTCGCTACGGCCCCGACGCCTCACACTGAGGCCCCGCCGCCCTTCGCTGTAGCCCCGCCGCCCGTCTCAGCGGCCCCGCCGCCCTTTGCTGCGGCCCCGCCGCCTCTCTCGCTGCGGCCTCGCCGCCCTTCTCAGCGGCCCCGCCGCCCTTCTCTTCGGCACCGCCGCCTCTCTCACTGCGGCCCTGCCGGCCTTCTCAGCGGCCCCGCCACCCTTCACGGCGGCCCCGCCGCCCTTCACTCCGGCCCCGCCGCCCCTCCCACTGCGGCCCCGCCACCTACCTTGCGGCCCCGCCGCCCTACCACCTACACCGCCCGCGCCGCCCGAGCCGCCCGAGCCGCCTGAGCCGCTGAGGAGTCGAGCCGCCCGAGCCGCCCGACCCGCCCGAGCCGCCTGAGCCACCTGAGGAGCCGAGCCGCTGGTGGCGCGGAGCCGCAGTTGCTGCTGAGCCGTCCGAGCAGCCGTGTTACCGTGTTGCTGTGCTACTGAGCTGCCCGAACTGCCCTGTCTGGTGAGAGCAGCGCTTCTGTCACTGCACTGCCCCTGTCCTACAGTTGGTACTGCTAGTCTACTGTTGTCATGGCTACCCCTAGTGTCCTCGCGTTTGACGCTGAGGGTCGAGCCATTGACTTTGAGGTCTGGGTCGACGACCTGCAGCTGTTCTTACAGTGCGATAGGGCAGACGATCTCTCTCTCTTTGACCTCACCTCTGGCGCCTCTCCTGCCCCAGCTGCTGATGCTGACCCCACTGTTCGCTCCCAGTGGGCCACGCGAGATGGTGCTGCACGTCTTGCTGTGCGTCGCCACCTGCCTACCACTGAGCGCGTGCACGTTAGTCAGTACAAGAGTGCTCAGACCTTGTACGACGCTGTAGTTGCGCGCTACTCTTCCCCTGCCACTGCTGCACTGAGCCGCCTCATGCTACCGTACCTCTTCCCTGTCCTTGCTGCCTTTCCCACAGTCGCAGACCTCATTACGCACCTCCGCACTAGTGACACTCGCTACCGCGCCGCGCTTCCTGCTATGTTCTGCGCCAAGAACCCCCCCCCCCCCCCCCATGTACATCACGCTCTATTATTTAGTCACCCGCCTCCCTGACTCCCTTCGTGTAGTCAGGGACCACTTCCTCTCAGTCTGTCCCACCACTCTCACTGTTAACCTCTTAGAGAAGGCCCTCCTAGCAGCGGAGAAGAGCATAGTCGCTATAGGAGCCTCTCGTGGTGACCCTCGCACCCCCATCTTTGAGGGGTGTTCTCCTTCCCCCCTTTTGCCATCTGTCGCCTCTGCTGCTGCGACCGACCTCGTTGGTCTTGAGTCGGTCGGTGCGGCGTCTGCCCCTAGCGAGAGACGCCGCTCTGGCAAGGGCAAGGGGGGCAAGGGCACGGGTGGAGCTAGCGGGGGCGGTGGAGGTGGCGGTGGAGGCGTCGGAGGGAGTGGGGGTGGCGGTGGGAGTGGTGGCGGGGGTGGAGGTGTCGGTGCCAGCAGTGGAGGCGGAGGCGGCGGAGTCGGCGGCGGTGCTAGCGGAGGCGGCGGTGGTGGCGGAGGTGGAGGAGGCGGTGGTGGAGGAGGTGGCGGTGTTCGGGGTGGCGCTTCGCAGCAGAGCAGCCCTGGTGGTGGTCAGCGCCAGCAGCAGCAGCAGCAGCAGCGTTCTCGGGACATTCCCCCCCCTCAGCAGCTCCGTGAGTGGTACGCGCAGCGTCAGCGTGGTGGGGGTTTTGGTCCGTGCACCTATGTCCTTCACTCCGGGTGAGCAGTGTGGGGGTGCCCATCCCACCCAGCGCTGCTTTGGCCGCCTAACGGACGCTTGGCGTCAGCAGTTCCCGGAGGCCAGTGAGATCCCCCGCTGGGGAGAGCTTTCTAGGGCAGGCGTAGCTATCTATGATCTTGACTTTGATGCTATCCTTGCTGCCATGTATGCTGTGACTATTAGTGATGAGGGTGACTGTTACTGGTGTTTCCCGCCCAACCCGGGCATTGGTACTGCTGCTCTAGGTGCTGGTGAGGCTGCTGCTCTAGGTGCCAGTGCGTCTGCGCCCTCAGGTGCTGGTGATTCTGCGCTCTCAGGTACCACGTCGGCTTGGGCCTCCCTCACCTTCACACTTGACTCAGGGGCTTCTCGCTCCTTCTTTCGAGACCGCACCACACTCACGCCGCTTGGTCGGCCGGTTGCAGTCTCCCTAGCAGACCCCTGTGGAGGTCCTGTCCTCTCTCACTTCTCCACAGTCCTCCCGTGTCGAGCTGCCCCCTCTGGTACCTTGTCTGGTCTTTACCTCCCCTCGTTCTCTACGAACTTGGTGAGTGGTGCTGACCTGCAGCATACGGGGGTTCACAAGTTTACTCTTGCGAGTCAGCGGGTGACCCACTGCTCGGACGCTCACACAGGCCGGCACCTGGCCACGTTAACGCGTCGGCCGGGGTCGAGCCTCTACACCCTGACCTCTAGGTCTCCTCCTGTCCCTGCGTCTAGCCAGATAGCTGCGTCGGGTCAGGTGTTTGCTGCAGCGTCCAGGTCTGGTCCTGAGTCTGCCCCCTGCTCGTGTCGCCTCCTGTCTCACGAGACTCTCTTGTGGCACCACCGTCTTGGTCACCCCTCCCTTCCTTGTCTCCGAGGCATGGCTTCCCGTGTCCTTGTCTCTGGTCACCCCTGGTCCCTCCCTCCCCTTCCTCCAGGGCCTGGTCCTTCCTGTGTTCCCTGTGTCGAGGGGCGGCTCCGGGCTGCCCCTCACTCCTCTCAGTTTCCCCCGACAGAGGCCCCGCTGCAGACGCTTCACATGGACGTGTGGGGCCCGCCCCGCGTCCGTGGACAGGGTCACGAGTGCTACTTCCTGCTGGTGGTTGACGACTACTCGCGTTACACCACAGTCTTCCCCTTGCGCAGCAAGGGTGATGTCACTGAGGTGTTGATCGTCTGGATCCGCGCAGCTCGTCTCCACCTCAGGAGGAGCTTCGGCTCGGACTTTCCTGTTCCGCGTCTGCACTCTGACCGAGGCGGAGAGTTCTCCTCTAGCCTTCTGCGAGCCTACTGCCGTGCGCGAGGCATCCGCCAGACCTTTACACTTCCGGACTCTCAACAGCAAAATGGGATTGCTGAGCGCCGCATTGGCATGGTCATGGACGTCGCTCGTACGTCCATGATGCATGCGGCTGCCCCGCATTTTCTGTGGCCGTTTGCGGTTCGGTACGCGGCGCATCAGATCAACCTTCACCCCAGGGTCTCCATGCCGGAGACCTCCCCAGCTCTGCTATGGACGGGGAAGGTAGGCGATGCGTCTGCGTTCCATGTCTGGGGATCTCGGGCGTTTGTCCGCGACTTGTCTGTGGACAAACTGTCTCCTCGTGCTGCTCCTTGTGTCTTCCTTGGCTTCCCCCCTGACGCACCAGGGTGGCAGTTCTACAACCCCTCCTCTCGTTGTGTTCTGTCCTCCCAAGACGTCACGTTTGACGAGTCGGTCCCCTACTACCGTCTCTTCCCCTACCGCACTCCTTCCCCCCCCCCCGCCGCCGCACTTCCTTGTGCCAGATCCCCCCCAGGTAGACCCCCTCCCCCCTCAGGGTCCTGCCCCTTCAGGTGTGTCCCAGGTAGACGCTGTCGAGCCGGTCGAGGTTGCTGGTGACTCTGGTGCTGCTGCGGGTGCTGAGCCTGGGGGTGCTGACTCAGGGGGTGCTGCGCGAGTGGGTGCTGAGCCTGGGGGAACTGAGCCTTGGGGTGCTACGACTGAGGGTGCTGAGCCTGGGGGTCCTTCGCCTGGGGGTGCTGCGTCTGGAGCTGCTGCGCCTGGGGGTGCTGCGTCTGGAGCTGCTGAGCCTGGGGGTGCTGCGTCTCGAGCTACTGAGCCTGGGGGTACTGCGTCTAGAGCTGCTGAGCCTGGGGGTGCGGAGCCCGCGGCCGCTGGACCTGCTCGTGTGGCGTCTGGCGGTGCTAGGCCTGGTGGTTCTCCGGGTGCTTCGTCTCGGCGAGAGCCACTCTCTCCACAGGAGCTGCGCGAGTGGTTTGCCCGGCGCTGGAGGCGTACTGCTGGAGCTGGTGCTTCTTCGGCTGCTGAGGGTGCTGGTGTCGGCGGTATCGAAGGTGCTAGCCTTGGGAGTGCTGGAGCTGCTAGGCCTGCGAGTGTGACTGGAGTCGGAGCTGCTGAGGGTGTTGGCGCTGAGGCTACTGCTGTCAGTCCTAGCGGCGGTCCTGCTGCGGGTGCTGCTGGTGCTGCTGGAGTTACTGGAGCTGGAGGTGCTGTTGGCGTTGGTGCTGCCATTGGGGGTGCTGGTGCTGTCCCTGCTGTGTCTGGAGTCGCCGCGTGGCCTCGGCCGTACTTTGTTCCGCTCCTTCAGCAGGTTCTTGGTCTTCCTCCTCCCTTAGAGTGTCCACCGCCTGTCCAGTCGCAGTCACAGTTACCGCCGGCCTCCCCACTGCCTGCTCCTTCTCCCTACACTGGTCCTACTGGAGGTCTTGCTGAGCGTCGTGAGCCTGCGTCTCGTCTTGCGTCGTCGGTTCGTGCTGCTCGCGCTAGTGGTCGCGGTTCGCGTCAGCGTCCTCCTCCTGTCCCTGGCACGCACCGGATGTCTCTGCGTCAGTCCACTGCTCCTCTGCGTGCCCCTTTGCCTTCTCCTCCTGAGTCCTCTCTTCCTGCCCTTGCCGACCCGGAGTCGGACTCTCTTCGTGCTGCCAGTCCTACTGTCACGCGTCTCCTTGGTACTGTCGTCACTGACCCCTCTTTTGAGTCCACTGCTGCGTCTGCTCTTGTTGCTGAGCTCGTCGACTTTGCTGCTCGCTGTCGTCTAGACTACGCTGCTAGTCTCGTTGCTGAGTCTGCGTCTGTCTGTCCTCCGTCTGTCGGGGGTGAGTCTGCTCTTGGCACGGACGTCCTTGAGGACAGGCAGGAGGAGTTCCAGTGTCTGGCTGCTGCTTCACCTCATCTCGTGTCCGTACTGCTTACCCCTGAGGGAGACCCGGATGCACTTGACATCCCGACTCCGCGCTCTTACGCGGAGGCCGTAGAGGGTCCCTACTCCTCTCAGTGGCAGGCAGCTATGGATGCAGAGATGGCTTCCTGGAAGTCCACAGGCACCTACGTTGACGCGGTTCCCCCACCTGGGGCGAACATCGTCAGTGGCATGTGGATTTTCAGGGTGAAGCGGCCGCCGGGTTCTCCGCCTGTCTTCAAGGCGCGGTACCTGGCTCGTGGCTTCAGTCAGCGGCAGGGAGTTGACTACTTTCAGACCTTCTCTCCCACCTCGAAGATGACCACTCTTCGGGTGCTGCTACACATAGCCGCTCAGCGTGACTACGAGCTTTACTCCCTTGACTTCAGCACTGCTTTCCTGCAGGGTAGCTTGAACGAGGAGATCTGGCTGCGCCGTCCACCTGGCTTCACTGGGACTTTCCCTCCTGGCACCCAGTGGAGCCTCCGACGGCCAGTCTACGGTCTCCGCCAGGCACCGCGCGAGTGGCACAACACACTGAGGACTACGCTTGCGGCTCTTGGGTTTGCTCCCTCTACTGCTGACCCGTCGCTGTTTCTACGCACCGACACCTCGTTGCCGCCGTTCTACATCCTCGTGTACGTCGACGACTTGGTCTTTGCCACTGCTGACACTGCTGGACTCGCCCACGTGAAGTCGGAGCTGCAGAAGAGACACACGTGCACAGACCTGGGTGAACTGCGCAGCTACCTTGGCTTGCAGATCACCCGGGACAGAGCACGCCACACAATTACCCTGACTCAGTCACACATGGTGCAGCAGGTCCTTCAGTGCTTCGGCTTCACGTACTCCTCGCCTCAGGCCACTCCTCTGCCTACTCGCCACTCGCTCTCAGCTCTGCCTTCGGATGAGTCCGTAGAGTCGAGTGGCCCGTACCCAGAGCTTGTTGGCTGCCTCATGTACCTGATGACCTGCACACGACCTGACCTTGCATACCCTCTTAGCATTCTTGCACGCTATGTTGCTCCTGGGAGACACAGACCAGAGTACAAGGCTGCAGCGAAGAGGGTGTTGCGCTACTTGTGCAGTACGTCGGACATGGGGCTAGTGCTTGGAGGGCAGAGTCCAGTGGTCCTCACTGGGCACGCGGACGCTTCTTGGGCTGACGACCAGGCTACGCAGCGGTCGTCACAGGGTTACACCTTCAGCCTTGGTTCTGGCTCTGTTTCGTGGCGGGCTACTCGCTCGTCTTCTGTTCTCGGCTCCTGTTGTGAGGCCGAGATCTACGCCGGGGCCATGGCTGCACAGGAGCTTTGCTGGCTCACCTACCTGCTGACCGACCTTGGAGAGCCGCCTCGTTCTCCTCCAGTTGTGTACGTAGACAACAAGGCGATACTGGCCTTGTGTCGAGAGCAAAGACTGGAGCACAGAACAAAGCACATTGCTCTTCGCTACTTCCTTGCTCGTGAGCTACAGCAGCGTGGTCAGTTGCGGCTTGCGTACGTGGCCTCTGAGGCCAACACTGCTGATGTTTTCACCAAGGCACTTGCGCCTTGTGATCATCAGCGCTTCTGTAGTCAGCTTGGTCTTGTGCCTGTCTTGCCTCACTTGCTCACTTCTTGACCTTGCTTGTACTGTCACATATATATACTCCTGCTCTTGTTTGCTTAACTCTTATTTATATATATATATATGTGCTCCTGCATGTGAATTGGCCTTGTGGCCTTGAACTTGTGCTCGGAATGTGTGGTGACTTTGTGATCCACCCTGAGCTTGCTTTGCTTTGCTTGACTGGTCTTGTGACCCCTTGTTCTCCCCCACTTTGCCTATGGGGGTGTGTCACATTTATATGACATAGCTCCTGTAGGCTATAATGGGGTAGCACATATGGGGTACAGCTTTCTAGGGTTTGTACTTGTACCCAACTTTTCCTTAGTCATTTTTTGTTTCCTCTTGATTTCCACACCAAGTGTAGAAGTCCTTTTCGTTGAAAGGAACCGATGTTTTCAGCTTCGAAGTCAGAACGAATTTTGTCTGCGTTGTTGCCATTGTGTTTGAGTGTGCGCGTTGTTGAGTGTCTTGCGTAGGAGCTGAAGCTTGACGGTTGTCAAACGTGAATTATCTCTTGGAGTTGACGCAGTGCTCTTCTCCAGGGAGAGGAAGTCCAGCAACTTTATGTGCATAGCTTGAGCCATCGATGCTCATTGCTTGATGGCTCTCAAGAGCATTGATGCGGGCGACCAGCTGCTCAACGAGAGCGGCGCTGACGGAGGTCACGTCTGATGGTGTAGTGGGTGTTGCTTGTGGTGGGATCGTAGTGGATTGGATGAAGCTGCTAAGTATATGAGAGAACTGTGATGTCTCTCCACGACCTTGTTGATAATGCTTTGAAAGAACAAGATGATTATAAGATAGGAGTACAAGGATATAAATAGCAATCCTAGCTAGCCATGTACTCTGAGGGGTACATTCCCTTATTTAACCAAATTACATTTCTATAGTAACCACGAATATTGCCATTCTAGGCAGTTACCACGTTGCACTTCGCAACTGCCTTTGTGCGGTTACTGGGCAGTCAAGGGTCACGACTGTTGACTGTCTTCGACTGTTGACCTTCGGGTGACCCTCGACCTTCCGCGTGCTCTATATGCGCTAGTGCGGTACTAATACAGGCGCTTACTTCGTTATGAAGTGACGCGAGAGTGAAGAGCCTTCGGGAATGCTTTTGATAACCTTTCGGTTATTCCAACAATATTCATTGAATTACCCAAAGAATTCATAATAAATGATATACGGCCAAGGGTGTCCCCAACAACACTCGCTTTGCCATCGCATGTCCACCGCGGCCAAATAAATACGCTATTATCACAGTATGAGTGCTTCTAATCCTCATACTAGGCCTTCTTTTTTGTGTCGTATCGGTAACATGACACTGCACCCATCGTCGATTTTGGCCCGCCTAATATCTTCCGCACAGAGGAGAAAATTATTGTAGTGTTCACAGTGGAAGACACTGTAGCAACCCGACAGCGGGTGCTACGAGCCAGGTCCCACAACTATATAGTCTCAGAGCCAACCGAGAGCGTGAAAAGGGAGAGGCTGGAGGGGCTCTAGCGCACATCATGACACGTGACGTTGAACGATTGGAGAGTGAGTAGTGGCCTGTATAGGGGGATTGGAAGGTGGTGAGTCGGACAGGGGGATCGGAGAATGCACAGGGAGTGTTAGCAGAGTTCCTCATAGGAGTGGTAAACATTGTAGTGACCAGGCAGCAAGTTCTGTAGCAAAGTGCCACAATCCTTGCATAGTGTGGTAGAAAGGGGAAGAGCGGAACGGAGGGAGAAGGGGAATGTTGTGAGGTGAGGTGCAAGCTGCATATGAGAATGTTGTGAGGTGAGGTGCAAGGTGTACATGAGAATGCTTTGCGGTGAGGTGCAAGGTGCACATGAGCATGCTTTGAGGTGAGGTGCAAGGTGCACATGAAAATGCTGTGAGGAGAGGTGCAAGGTGCATACGAGAATGCTGTAAAGTGAGGTGCAAGGTGCAAATGAGAATGTTGTGAGGTGAGGTGCAAGGTCCATATGAGAATGTTGTGAGGTGAGATGCAAGGTGCGTATGAGAGTGCTGTGAGGTGAGGTGCAAGGTGCATATGAGAGTGATGTGAGGTGAGGTGCAAGGTGCATATGAGAGTGCTGTGAGGTGAGGTGCAAGGTGCATATGAGAATGCTGTGAGGTGAGGTGCAAGGTGCATATGAAAATGTTGTGAGGTGAGGTGCAATGTGCAAGTGAGAATGCCATGAGGTGAGGTGCAAGGTGCGTATGAGAATGCTGTGAGGTGAGATGCAAGGTGGGTATGAGAATGCTGTGAGGTGAGGTGCAAGGTGCGTATGAGAATGCTGTGAGGTGAGCTGCAAGGTGCATATGGGAATGCTGTGAGGTAAGGTGCAAGGTGCATATGAGAATGTTGTGAGGTGAGGTGCAAGGTGCATTTGAGAATGCTGTGAGGTGAGGTGCAAGGTGTGTCAACGAAAGTCGTGTGTTGGCCCCGTTCTCGCTTGGACGGATCTGACTTCGTGGTCGGGTGTGCGGGAAGTGCAGCCGACCGACTGCAATGGGCGACGCAGAATTTTGCGAGCTGGTCGACAAGCTTGGTCGACCTGCATAGGGGCCACTGCAAGCCGCCGACTTTGCGAGACAGCGGCCGACTCGATCTGGTTGTCGACGAGTGGAGAAGTCGACCTAGGAGGGGCGCCGACTTGGGAGGGCGCCAACTTTGGATGAAGGCCGACTTGGCAAAGTCGGCATAAGGAGGGCGTCAACCTGGTGATGCCGACCTGGGAAAGCCGACTTGGTGTGGTCGGCAGACAGCTGGGCTGGTCGACCTGGAGCTGGTCGACTTGGGGTGTGGTCGACTTGGTGGGGTCGACTTGGCCGGTCAGTGGGCATGAGGAGAAGCAGCTGGTCGACATGGTTGCCCGGTCGACCAAGTTACCTGGACGACAGGGTTCAGCGGAGGAGCGTAATAGTCGCCTAAGTTGTACTGGTGAAGCCGACCTCGGAGGTGGTATCCCGAGGTCGACATGGCTGATCAGGTGCAGTCAACAACACGAGGACGATCTAGTGTCTGCACTGTGCAGGTGATGAGGCACATCACGCCAATCAACTGTGCACACCTGTGCTGTGCAGCCGCCTTGTTGCAGCGCTGGCACGCCGTCGACTTGCAGTGTTGCCAGACCACGAATTTGCACTACTATAGTGCATTCGACCTTGAAGTACTGGAACGCGCTCGACCGTGCTACACTGACAGTCGACCTGCATGCTTGCTAGCATCTGATGTAGTCAGTGTTGCTTTGCATTGTTCAACCATTGTTGTCAACCTTTGCTAGTGAAACTCGTGCTTATTTCTCGCGTTATTGCGCAAGTAGAGAGAACACGAGCAAACGACTAAGGAACGCAAAGATCACCCTTACAACCGAGTCTTGCCCGTAGCTCTCGTTGTTTTTGTTATCTCCTCAAGGTGCATATGAGAATGCTATGATGCAATAAGGATGAGGCACGAGGGGCGTGGGGAAGGGACGAGGGAGGAGAAACAAGAGAATGGGGAGGAGAAATATAATAATGTAGGATCGGAAAAACATTGCAGACAGGCCGAAATATCAAAGCATTGCATAGGGGGTATGGGAAAGCATAGGGGGTATGAGAGTGCATGGGGGGTATGGGAGTGCATGGGGGGTTATGGCAGTGCATGAGGGGTATGGGAGTGCATGGGGGGGTATGGGAGTGCATGTTGTGAGGGGCATGTGGTGCTTAAGGATTTAGTTTGGGTTGGAGTGTTGGTGGTTACAGTGGCTGTGGGACTGGTAGCTGCTGTGGTTATGCTATTAAAAATGCCTATGCCTTCCTGGCTCTAGTTATGAGTTGAAGGCAGACCCTTAACTGATGCAGTTGCTGACACATCAGATGATGTGGCAGCTGAGAGGGAGAAGAGCCAAACTGGAAGTCAAGCCGTGATTGGCCGGGAGATGAGCAGGAGGAGGAGGATGGGGTAGAAGCAGATGTGATGAGGGCGGAGGGGGAGAAATGCTCTTGAACAAACCACCACAGTCAGTACCCACGTAGAACACTCCAGGTGAAATTCCAGGTGAAATTCAAGATGCTCCACCAGGTGCTACTTCAGGTGCATTTCTAGATGCTCCCCGCCACATATGTGCCGTCCCCATCCGCAACTCCGAGGGCACCAGGGGCCACTGCGTGAGCATGCGTCAGCTGTCACGTGAAACGCCAGGTGGTGTGAGGGGGACGACCTCTAAGGGCTGTTGCAGGGCGTGGGTGAAGAAACGAGACGAGGAGATGGGAGGTGATGGGAAAAGAGGGGAGGAGACGGAAAAGGAGTGGGGTGGAGAGGAGGGAGAGAAGGGAAAGGAGATGGAGTGAGAGAAGACTCGGAATCGCAAGTACGCATCCCACCTCGAATCACACCAGCCCACCCCCCTCTGATCAAACGAGCCCACTCCCCTCTGATCACACCAGCCCACTTCCCTTGGAGTCGTGAGCGCACTCACCATGCCCATCATTTGCACTCACCATGCCCATCATTTGCCGGCTTCTATCACATATGCATGAATGTGAAGGGTAAGGAAGTGAGGTAAAAGGGCTGTACATACTGTAGATACTGTACATAGCGGAACTGAGTTCAACGAGGATGGAAGCCGAAGAGGCATTCGACATTTCGCGAGCAAAAAGGAAAGTTGGGGAGCTGACGGTTGCCGAGCCTGAGGGTCAGAGGGTTGCATGAGTGAGAAAGGAGCTGGAGCTTACGTAAGCAAGGTGGGGCGGGCTGCAGAAACAGAGGCAGACTAGGCAGCGGCAGCGGGAAGCAGCAGCGCAGGATGGGAAGGATGGGTGTACGTGTGCATGCTTGTTTGCTTTCTCTATGTGTCCAGGATAGGTTTGGGGAGCCAGCTGGATCTGGGAGTAACAGCTGGAGGACGAGCAGACAGGGCAAAGAAGGGTGGCAAGAGGCATCACGGCTGTAAGCCTGTGTGAAGCAGTTCAAAGCTGCTAGCATAGGCAGGGATGATGGGACCGCAGTGTGGTGGTGGCTTTGCTGGTAGAATAGGTGG